AGCACAATAAAAATACACAGCACAAGTACGAATACACAGTACGATACACAGCACGAGTAAAAATAAACACAGCACAAGTACGAATACACAGCACAAGTACTAGGTACCAGAGTAAAATACACAGTACGAGTAAAATACACAGCACGAGTAACGAATACACAGGCACGAGTAAACGAATACACAGCACGAATAACAGCACGAATACCAGCACAGAGTAACAAATAAACACAGTATCCGAGTACAAATACACAGTACCGAGTACAAATACACAGTACAGTACAAATAACACAGTACGAGTACAAATATCACATAATACGAGTACAAATACACAATACGAGTACAAATACACAGTACTAATACACAGTACGAGTACTAAATACACAGTACTAATACAAATTACACAGTACGAAGTACAAATACACAGTACTAATACAATACACAGTACTAAGTATCAAATAACACGTACAAGTACTACAGTACGAGTACAAGTATAAAAGGAGTACAAGTACAGAGGTCAAGTACAGTACACAATACACAGTACGAAGTAACAAATACACAGTACAGTACAAAAATACACAGTACAAATACACAGTACAGTACACAGTACAGTACACAGTAACAAGTACACAGTACAAATACACAGGTACAAGTACACATTACAAAGACACAGTACTAGTACAATACACAGTTACATAGTACACAGTACAAATACACAGTACAATACAACAGTACGAGTACAAATACACAGTACGAAGTACACAGTACAACATACACAGTACAAATACACAGTACAAATACACAGTACGAGTTACACAGTACGAGTAACCAGTACATGCCCATCAGTTTCCAGTCTTGATGCTAAGCAGAGTGTGTGTGTAGTTCTGGCAGTTTGGGGAGTGGGTGGACGTGGTGATTGACGACTGTTCCGGTTAAAGATGAAGAGCTGCTGTTCGTCCCACTCGGCGAGGAGAGTTTGGAGCGCCTGCCTGGAGAAAGCCTACGCAAAAGTAGAACCATAACACCACACATCGGAAAACACATTGTAAACAGGCTTGTGAGTTGTTGTGTGGACGGAGAAGCAAGACTGTTTTTAATATGCTGTCCTGACCGACACAAGCCCACCAGAACTTCCATTGGACAAAAGAGTATTTTAGTTTCCTATCTGTGTCATGTGGTGAATCGAGGAAGCGGTAGAACTATCCCATCGGTTCTGAAGGCTTAAATCACCTGCTTTTGTCAATGGAGTCTGGTGCTTTGAACAGAGAAATATTAATGACTGCAGTCAACCTGTCCACTAGTTTCACACCTGTCCAACACCTGTCCACATATTCAAACCTGTCCACATAGTCCCACATAGTCCACATAGTCACACCTTTCAATAGTCACACCTGTCCCCATGTGTGACCAGTTTTGTAACACAGTTCAGCTTACATGGTGATAATAACGATTGTGTTCAGGTTTCCTACACGTCCTCCTCCTCTTCAACTGCATGTCCTATATTATTCCAGCATGGAACACGCCACCCTCACACAACACAACTCAACTGTACACAATACACTGTACACACACCGAGTCCCTCAGGTGTTACTGGACGATGTGACGTTGTCATGACGTCAACTGTGGACGGTCGTCCGTTGTGATGCAGGTTGAACGCTTGTTACGAGGCTCGTTTGGAGGATCGACCACCCGAGGGTTTTTGAGGATTTTACCGAGGGTCGCTGAGGTCCCACGAGCTAAGTGACCCAGTCCTCATCTGTTCCACATCACTCCAGAAGGCTCAGAGCCGCGGGTCCCGATGGTCTGCTCCATAGACCGTAAGCTCAACAGATTATATGACATTGGACACTGTTTATCTAAAGTATTTGTTGACTTTGGTATTTTGTTTCAGATCACAAGCTCAGCTGACTCAGAGGCGATCAACCTCCCAGAAGCTTGGTGAAAGGGGCATGCTACTCTGTGACAGGTGCTGCTGAGTGAGGCCCCCCCCCGTTGGAGCCACGCCGCCTGCTTTAGCCAGGCTGTTAGCCTGTCTGAAACATTGTTTCACCTCCTTGCAGCTTTTAAACTACTATGTCCATGAGGTCCCTTAGCAGAAGGTTTTGCCAACTGAGCTTTTGAATCCTTAACAGATTGTTTATTGCCGTAGAAAAAGGGGTACCGCCCTAACTGTTGTGCTCGTTGATTGGCTGCAGGTGGAGTTACCGTGGAGAAATGGTGGAAGCTGATCCGGATCAGAACCCTGGGGTCAGGTGGAGTGGACCGGAGCTGGAGTGATGAGTAGGTACACCCCGACAATCGTAGACATAGTTAACCTCCGGAAAACAACACCACAGTGTTACCCAAGATTATTATTATTATTATTATTATTATTGGTTATTATTGTTTATTAGTAGTAGTCCCTTTATGGGTACTGGAGGTAGGAAGGACTACATGAGAGCTTCTTTCTGCTGGCTGCCTGATGTTGAACTCCCTGACTGAACAACAATACCTGTCAACCGCCTGCGGGGTGGAGTCTGTGGCACGATGATCCTCAGAGGCTCTGACTGACAGACTCTGTACACTGTGTCACAGCATCGTTAACTCTAATGATCAATGCCTCATCATGATTGAATTGAATCGTCATTTAATCACACTTCTTAAAGATCCGTCCAGACTATTAAAATCCTGCTACACAGTTCCACAATGTACTCGTGCTGTGTATTTGTACCTGGAAGTGGAAGATGCCGGCGTACTCTCCCTCCCTGAAGCTTTGTCCGTGGGGGACGACTCGAGCCAGAACTTCCTCGTTCAGCGTCAGAGAGGCGATGGCGGCGAGCAGCCAGCAGTCACCTGGATGACAGACAGGAAGAGGGCGGGGCTTACTCAGTCCTTAAACACACCATCAGTTTCTGCACCTGGACCACCTGACAGGAAGAAATCTACCTGAGAGCGGACGATGTTGGAAAGATCAGGTGAATTAATAATGAGTCACCTGCCTGTGCTCTGATTGGCTGGCTGTTGCTATAGAAACTATATCCAGATGAACCACTAACGTCCTGTACTTCCCTCTTGAGGGCGATGACAAAACAGTGAGTCAGCCACCGCCCACCTTCCTGTCAACATGTTTACTGTTTCTGTTGCCAAGGCAACACACGCCACCGAGCCACGCCTAAACTGCATGAGACAATAACATGCTTAACTGCTAGCTTAGCTTAGCATAACAACGGGGAAAAGGAGCAGGCAGGCAGGCAGGCAGACAGACACTAGCTTTACATAATGACTGGAAACAGAGGGAAACAGCTAGCTTAGCTTAGCATAAAGATTGGAACATTTCTTGAAGAGGGCTGGACACGGGACATCATCACTCGTCATCACTCAGTGGACCCGGATTTGACTTCCAAATAAGTTTCCGTTGGTTTTGCATTAGAGAGACTAGACCAGACTAGACCAGACCAGACTAGACCAGACTAGACTAGACCAGACTAGACCAGACTAGACCAGGGTCTGACTGTTTAAACACCAGCTGCCAACTCGTTTTTCAGGTTACAAAATAAATGTAGAGGACATGTGAAGGTAGTAAAGTGTGATCCTTCCAGCCAGTCTGCGCCTGCTGACCTCCAATAAAGTTATTTGATCTGGAGGTCTGTTCAGTTAGTGGAACCGGTTCCTCCGGTCCGACTGGCTGCACACATAATGACTCCGGCTTTGTTCAGCCGTTAGCTTTACCCTCCTCTCATCAATTATAGGTCACATAATCTGCTTCATCCAGTCAGAGGGAACACTCCTTGTCACTCCGTTATCTGACTTTATAAATAAAGATTTTACAAAGAGACATAAAGCGGTTAGTTTCATTATCAGTGATAATAATCTAATATTATAATACAACAGGATCAAGAATATTTTTTAAAATCAGATGTTTTATGAGGAAGAATGAATATAAACAGAAGTTAAGTTAGCAGCGGTCTACATCGTCTGCGTAGCGGCACAGCGGCAGTCGGGTTTTAGAATCTTTATCTGACTGCCGCTGCGTTGCTGTTTGTTCTCACCCAGAGCTCCCTGACAGATGTCGGTCCTGGACGCTCCAGATATGATGAAGTCGGGGTCAGAGGTCAACTCCTGCACAGGAAACACAACATCAGCAGCATGAAGACTGAGACCGAGACCACTGTCAGTGAGTGAGACCTGGTCCACCCTGAAGGACCGCCCACTCCTCCGGCTCCTGGTTTCCTGCTGGTTCACTGTGTGATGTGTTCAGGCTCTAATGGACGCTGTGATGTGTTCAGGCTCTAATGGACGCTGCTGTTTGTTGCAGCTGGAAGGCAGTTTTTATTTATTCTGCATGTTGCTCAGTTATCATATTTTCTTTTGTACATTTCATAGTTATTTATTTGAACCATTACTTTATAATATAACTATAATAATAATAATATTTCTGCTTTCTAAATTCATTTTCTTTTTTACTATAACTTAACTAACTCAATAACTCAATCATCTGAAGCACAAACTAATCTGACAGACACACTGATCACTGATCAATTATTCTTCATTATTTGTGTTTGTCAGTTCTCCTGCTCTCCAGAGGCGTGTTTTTAGTGATCTGTTGTTTTATTGTTCAGTGTTCAGTTTTCTGTTGTTCTATTGTTCTATTCTTCAGTGTTCAGTTATTCTGTTGTTTTGTTGTTCTGTGTTCTGTTGTTCAGTGTTCTGTTGTTTTGTTGTTCTGTGTTCTGTTGTTCAATGTTCTGTTGTTTTCTTGTTCAGTGTTCTGTTGTTTTGTTGTTCTGTTGTTCTGTGTTCTGTTGTTCTATGTTCTGTTGTTCAGTGTTCTATTGTTCAGTGTTCTATGTTCTGTTGTTCAGTGTTCTGTTGTTCAGTGTTCTATGTTCTATGTTCTGTTGTTTTGTGTTCTGTTGTTCTGTGTTTTGTGTTTTGTGTTCTGTGGTTCTGTTGTTTTGTGTTCTGTCGTTCTGTTGTTTTGTGTTCTGTCGTTCTGTTGTTCAGTGGTCTGTTGTTCAGTGTTCTGTTGTTTGTGTTCTGTTGTTTTGTGTTCTGTCGTTCTTTGTTTGGTTGTTCTGTTGTTTTGTGTTCTGTCGTTTCTGTTGTTTTGTGTTCTGTTGTTCCTCCACCCAGTGCAACCACAGCTCCCACTGGGAATGTGCAGGTGTGTGTTCACTAACTGGCTCTGATCAAACAACAAACACACCAACAGAAGTTAAAGAGAATCAAACAGACGACAGCTAACATGCAGATGGATACCGTAATCAATCATCAATAATCAATAATCAATAATAACAACTGACTGCAATAACAACTGACTGTTGGAACAGGCTGAGCACGAAGCTGCAGACGCCTCAGGCCAAACTCCATTCACAAAATCCGGATTTGAATTCCCTCCTCTCTTCTTTTCAGTACAGACAGAATCACTGACATTGGTGGTCAAAGTTTGGAACTGGTACAAAACGATTATTGATTATTGATTATTGATTATTGATGAAAGTGTTGAAGTTTTGGAGGAGTGGAAAAGTTTGGATTCTCTGGTGTCTCTGATGTTAGAACTGTAAAGGTGAGTTACTCTGCACCAAACTCCGTTAGAGAAATCTGCCTTTTAATGTGCACTGACCGTGGGTCTCTTCCAGGACACCCCCCGGGTCTTGTAAGAGTTTGGACCCAGTTCTTTGAAGCCCAGGGAGGCGGGCAGCGCCGGGAACGTGTCGTCCTGGAACAGGCGGCCCGTCTCGAAGCAGCGCTGCCGCAGAGTCTCATAGTCCTGGTTCAGGTACTTCACCGCCTGGCTGTTGGTGCCGATGCCCTGGTCCTTCTCCCGGCGGCGCTGCAGAGTGGCCGCGATGCCCGACATGCTTTTGGGTCTTTTGGGTCTGGAGCCTGGAAGGTCCTGGAGAGCCTGGAAGGTCCTGGAGAGCCTGGAGAGCCTGGAAGGTCCTGGAGAGCCTGGAAGGTCCTGGGAAGTTTGTGAGGGTGCGGAGGCTGCAGGTGAGTGATGCCAGGAAGGGAGTGTTCAGTGTGCTGGATTACAGAGTCAAAGCACACAGTTCCGGGACGCCCCTTCACAATAAAACGAGCATTGTCAGCTTGTAGCCTCGTTTCTGAAACAGACTCCTAAAGCAGACTGAAAGAGAGTGTGCACGTGTCCTATCGATCAGCACTTCCGCCCATCAGGCGGAAAAACAAACAGCAACAACGTGTCTGTTGACAAACAGGTGCTTTTATTCTGAAGGCTGCTTCCGGTCTGGTTGTGTGAAATCTGTCATCATAAAAGAGGAAGAGAGTCTCATAGTTTAAACCTTCGTCACTCTCTCCACCCTACTGCCTGTCTGTCTGTCTGTCT